ATACATATTTTATTGATTACTGCTATACATCGATAAATACTATCTACTACATACTACCTAATCGTAGAGGATTAAACTGAAGAAAAAAAAAGTTTGTAAAGTGTTAACGCGAGTAAAAGAGAAGGGGAAGAGAATGAGAGAAGGCGGGGAAGGGTGAGTGAGGGAAAAGAAAGAGAGAGCCGGAAAGAGAGGAGAAATATAAATGAATCAAGCGAAGGAAACAATAGAGTATGCTTAACGGTGCAGTTATTGTCTGACTAGGTAGGCACGACCGCTGCATTTAGAAGCGCGGCATCGATATCACACGTCATTTTCATTGCCATCATGTTCAAAATTTGTCATTCATAATTGCAGACAAAGTATGGTCCTGTGTGAACAGCCTGCATGTGTACAGTTCCCCAGCGTCGACCTCCGCCAGTTTCACACTCGGACCAAAGGTGTACAAGTACAATACGTGCAAGGGCGGCTGTGGACCGAACCACTGCTGCTGCCGAGCGGAACCATAATGATGAGCCGGCCTGGCGCCACCTTTTGTCAGATAAAGTTAACTTAGGCGATAAGCCCGCATTCCTCGATGAATGACTATAACATATATTAGTCATTTGATGAGTGCTCAAAGGTTATGCAATGCACTTGTACCGGTGTCGGTATCTTACCGCAGGAATGAGTCCGTTTTAATTGTATATTTCTTTAGAACTATATCGATATTGGCCTTCCTTCTAGTGAAAAATTCGGAATCGTGTTTGAATGCTTTTTTTTATCTTGATATCAAAATCCGCATGCTTTTCAAAAACACTTCATTTAAAAACGTTCTAGGTGTGTTTCTTGGCCCAAATTTATGCAATGGTTGTATGTTTGAGTATTCTGGTGCAGATTAAGTATTCAAATTACTTCCCTAATGATAAGTTGGACACTTTTAATATATTGCGAATGTATAATCGCTCTTATTTGTATTATCCGGTAACGGTGTTGTTATTATATCTGCATGCATGTTTCAATTTCGGTAGGCACGAGAAATATCCACTTTATGGCTTAGTTTATTCAATAGATGGTGTCTCTAATTGTGAACCATATACGGGGCGAGGTGCGGAAGTGGATTTTTCCGTGCCTAGATGACACACTCTTATCGCCATGTTAGACAGTAAGGATTAGGTAAACCAAGAGTCGATTGCAGATAGCTATATAAGACCAGAGTACTGAGTAACCAGAGACCGACAGCAGTACGTCTACTGAATCCAATATGCGCACAAGCATCTACAAACCCCCCCATAACTGGTACCACATATAACTATGATAACAGTGTGTGTGTGTCCATTTACATATATATATAAATAAATAAGAGAGGGTGCTTCCAGATTTTAATAGAGTATGTCTGCTTTAAAAGTAAATCTTTCTGTCAATATACGAGTATGTTTAGTAAAATTAAAATGCATATGAATTGGCAATTGAATTTGTCCGACACTATGATTGGTTATTCAATTTAATATGACACCATTCCATATTAAAATATTGTAGAATTATCTAATTTACTCGTACAATATATATACGCATACGCATACGCACACGCACACGCACACGCACACGCACACGCACACGCACA